AGAGGGCTCTTGGCTAGGGGTGACACTGAAGCACTTTCAACAATTAGTAGAGGAAATATTCTTAGAGAGGAGTTGCTGCTTCAATCACATTCAAGTCAAGAGAGGCTGCATTTGTGTCAGTATGATTGTACCTGAAGCAATGACATCATCGTTAGTGAGTCTAGCAAAACAGAGGATAGAGTTCATCAACACCATTGGAATCATTAGACTAGCTATCGGAGGGAACGAAATAATGAATAAAGAAGAGGAGAAAGATGAAGCTAGTTTCTCACAGTATCTAATGAGAGGAGTCCTTCAAGAGAAGATTGATGTAGTACGCTTCATACTATCACTTGATGGATTAGGATTAGCTGATACCATTAGTCCCTGTATTGAGGAAGCAGTTGAATCAGGTAATATACAGATATTAAGTATGTTACTTGAATCAGGAGGTGATCCTAACTTTATTGGTAATAAAGGTCTCACTCCTCTACAGACAGCCAGTAAACAAGGACACGTTACTATAGTCAACAAACTTCTTCAATACAAGGCAGATCCTAATCAAGATGGTGTTTCTGGTTGGACTGCTTTGATGATAGCCACCGAGAAAAATAATACCAGTATAATCGAATTACTGATAAAAGCCGGTGCCAACTTGAACGCCAAAATGGTGCATGGTTGGACGCCTCTGATGCTTGCTTGTGCTTATAATTTTCCTGCTCTTGTTAGTATTCTACTCAAGGCAGGGGCAGATCCTAATATTCGCACAATCAAATGGGCAGCCGTACATTCTGCAGCTTCAAAATACGAAGATCCTTCGATTCTTATTGACTTGGCTGAATCAGGTGTCAATCTCAATGCAGTAACAGGAGCTGGAGCTACCCCACTCATCCTTGCTTGTCAAGTCAATTTTGAGCTAACCATTAATGTACTCCTCAATTATAAAGTATCTCTTGATTCTCAAACAAGAAGTGGGTACACTGCACTAATGGCTGCTGTTTGCAATAAGAGCGTGAGTATAGTTGAGTCCCTTTTATCAGCTGGTGCCAATGTACATATCGCTGATGCTAATGGCCAAACGGCATTGGATTGGGCACTGGATTCTGGTCACCCAGAAATAACAGAACTCCTCCTGGTATACATGGGAGATATGCCTGCCACGCCATTAAAGGCTCCCAGTTCTGCTCCTTCAGTAGCTCTTGTACCTGAAGATATTGAAGTCCACATTCCTTCCTCTTCCTCTGCAATACAAGAGCTAAGAGATGCAGTGGAAAATCCTTTACCACCACAGGGAACTTCATTGAAACACAAGAGCAGCAAAGAGGAGAAAGAAAAGTCAAGAAACACAACGGCATATTGATCGCATTAAGACTGATAACTTTGTACTATTATACTTAATTTTGTGAGGTTGATTATTATTGTTAAAAAATAATGATAATAATAAGAATAATTTTAAAAATTTAATCCTCTGTCAATTATTTATGCTGGATGTTATAGTGATGCTTCAAAAACTCTAACACAGCAGGAGTGCTGTTTAATGTGTTGAAAACCCTCCGCTCAGTCTTAGCTTGGACCCTCTCAAGCATATACATGCAGTGATGATGAAATGAGGTGAAAGTGAGACCGGACCTCAACGAAATATCAACCCAGTCCTCCAAGCACTCAATAGGAGTCTCATCATACCCACCAAACATTGCTGGGTTTTGGAGCATACCCCTTGCAGCCATCACACCATCTACCCCAGTCTCTTGTACAGTTCGATTAATGTCACTCTCATTTCTCATGTCTCCATTAGCAATGACCGGTATATGCACACTCTCTTTGATTAGTTTAATGGCACTGAGGTTGACTGGCTCTGCTCTCTGCTTGACTGTACGGCCGTGGACTGTTAGCCAAGAGAGACCAATCGCCTCACATCTTCTGGCTAGCTCAACTGTTTCCCTTTAGAGAGAGAGGAAGGGGGGGGGAATTGAAAAGAGAAAGAACGAATGATTCTCATTATTGAGTAATAATAGTTAATAATTTAATAGTAACCATTCAAGAATTTTAAATGCAAAACCAAATAATTATGTTAAGTAAGGATTTGAAATACCTTAAATCTTCATGTATTCGTATTTTAATAGAAACCGGAATCCCAGTAACCCTCTTTGCCCCTCGTACCATATCACAGACTAGCTCTGGACGAGTAATGAGGTAAGACCCATAACCCTCTTCCATTGCCCACCGCTGTGGACAACCACAGTTTAAATCAACAGCATCTACAAACGGTGAAACTAGCTGCGATGCCCGAGAGAAGTCCTCTACATTATTAGCAGCAAATTGAGCCACTAAAGGTCTGTCATCCAGAGGATCAGTCGTGAACTCGACGTCACGTGATTTCTGTGATCGTACGAAAGACTCTGAGACGATCATTGGAGTAAAGGCTACCTGTGTGCCGTATCTTCTGACCAGTTTACGAAAGGGGAGTTTGGAGTAGCGTACCATCGGAGCACACATCCTGACAACTGCTCCAGGCTGAAATAAATCCATTATGTTCTTGGCATTCTCTTCTTCTCTCTCAGCCATATTAACGCACGTGGGTGACACGCCTTCAAAACCCACACCCAAACCATACAGGCGTGGGGTGAAACCAAACCACGCCTGTATAAACAAAAATGGCGTCTCAAAAATGGATTTCCAGACCTGAAAAACCGCCAGAAAAATGGGCAACAATAGATGTGAGTATTCTGGGATTGTGTGAAAAGCTTTTATTTTCCTTCAGAGATCAAATGCTATAGAAGCCTGGGGCAGAATGAGGGAGACGACCAATCAGCACTTTAAGTTCACACCAAGAACCACTGCTTATTGTGTGATATGGGCATTACTAGTACCAATAGGAATATGGAAGATCATAAAGTGGGAGAGACAATATAAAGACAGAGCAAAAGGTCGTCCTCCAAAAGATTTGTTCTGAGCTTTGTTCTGAGCTTGGTTCTGAGGACGACACAACTAGACAAACTTTACAATTAAACAGTCAAACACATATTGATAGAGTTTAGTGTATTACATTATAATTTAATGATATTGTTAAACTAGTTTTTGAAGTGATGACCAGCGCATTAGAAAATTGACATAAAATTCACTAAAAATTAATTGCATAAAATCAATTTTGTTTGATAAAATGAGAATTACATGTAGAATTGTAGATCAACCAAGAGTGTATAATGTACATGTACTTCACATAAACTTGTAGTTATATATAGTTAATATTTACTGTACATTTTAAGGATATTTATTTCTTTACTAGATGTTCATTATTCCATCTTATAGCATGTCTGTGCTTCTGTCCAGTGTCTTCTGATAAAGGAGGCTTTCTCATTGCCTCTCTTAGTTTAATTATGGATGGATGCAGTTTTGGCGAGGATATATCTTCACTTATGCGCTTCCCTCCATACTGATACTCTGCATTATATGCATGGTCACTCTCATCTATGACATCTCCTACATTCATTAGCAGGAGTTGCGTTATTTCATGTTGCTCTGATTGTAGTGACCACTCCAAAGCCGTCCTGCCATTATTATCAGCAATATGTGTGCTAGCTCCAGCTAGTAACAGAGACTCTGTAATATCTACGTGGCCTTTGTGTGCTGCAGCCATCAGTGCTGTGAAACCATGATGGGTCTGACAATCCAGCAAAGCTTTGTGGTTGAGTAGAACTGATACAATTGCTTCAAAGCCAAATTGAGCTGCAACGATAAGTGGTGTGACACCAGTCTCAGTGGTGGTATTTATATCAGCACCAGTTTCTATCAGTGCTGCAAGCATTGAAGGATTGTTGTGCTTTGATGAAGCAAAGTAGACTGGGCTGCATTTACTGCTGTGTGTGAGGACATTAGGATTTGCTCCTGATTGTAGTAAACGTTTTACGATTTGAAGGTGATTTTGATCACAAGCAAATATCAGTGCAGTCCAGCCATCAAACATTGTTTTGTTAACAGAAGCACCAGAAGACAAGAGCTGCTCAACAATGTCAAAATGATCAAAGTTGCTCGCTAGCATTAGTGCTGTCGCTCCATCTATCCCGTCTTGATTAGGATCTGCCTTGTATTGAAGAAGTTTGTTGACTATAGTAATGTGTCCTTGTTTACTGGCTGTCTGTAGAGGAGTGAGGCCTTTATTACCAATAAAGTTAGGATCACCTCCTGATTCAAGTAACATACTTAATATTTGTATATTACCTGATTCAACTGCTTCCTCAATACAGGGACTAATGGTATCAGCTAATCTTAATCCATCAAGTGATAGTATGAATCGTACCACATCAATCTTCTCTTGAAAGACTCCTCTCATTAGATACTGTGAGAAACTAGTTTCATCTTTCTCCTCTTCTTTATTCATTATTTCGTTCCCTCCGATAGCTAGTCTAATGATTCCAATG